ACTAACTCACTGGCTCTCAACCAGGAGCAGTTTTGCCCGCCCCCCTTCCCCCCCAAAGAAAGGTATCTGGCACAGTCTGGAGATACTTTTGGCTGTGAGAACTACAGGATGCTGCTGGCATCTAGTGGATGAAGGCCAGGGATGCTGCTGGACATCCTCCAGTGCACAGGGCACGTCCACAAAGAACGGTCTGGTCTGGTTGGTAGTGCTTCAGGCAGGAGCCTAGGTGTGTCTTCCACAAGTCTTTGTCACACTCAGTTCTAGCCTGGCTGGAAGGCGTGTTCTTCCTGTAGCCTGGGAGCCCTGTGCTTGCTGATCCACGCCCAAACTCGCCTTCCTTCCTGGCCTGGACTGCCTGGAGGCAAGTAACTTTTTTAATCTTGAGGATTCGGAGTTAATCTGTTTTGGCAGTTTTGAGTTCATACAGGTAACTTCAGTTTCTACCTCAAATTGTAAGTAACAAAGATTTTCTTCATGTCAATGGTTTTAGATGAACAAAGCTGTTGTTACTGAGGACTACAGTGCTACTTCTATTACTTAATCCAATGGCAGAAAATAAATGGGGTAATTAATAAAACCCCTATGCAGTCAGACCCTGTCATTAAAGTTTCTCAGTTTTTAGATGTGATTTGGGATGTTTACACACATACTAAGGAATTTTAATTTGCTTTTCCACATTAAAATACTTCCTTTTCCCCTTTTTATGGTTAATACAATACAAGCAGTTCTTTTAGACCAAAAATTATGTGTAAGGTAATGCCTCTAAAGAACAAGAGTGAGCCCTGGCTGGTGTGGCTCAGTTGGTTGGTGCATCAACCCATAAACTGATAGGTTGCAGGTTCGATTCCAGGTCAGGGCACAGGCCTAGGTTGCGGGTTTGGCCTGGGTTGGGGCACATGCGAGAGGTAACTGATTGATGTTTCTCTCCCTCCCTTTCCCTCTCTCTAAAGTCAATAAGCGTGTCCTCAGGTGAGGATATAAAAATAAAAAATTAAAGAACAAAAAAGAGATTTAGATAATTAGAGCTTGCCAATTCATGGTATAATATTTCAATACCATCATAGGAAGTTGATCCCAGCGTTGCCTTTTGACTTGACAGTTTACTTTTATTCTGTTCAGGAGACAAGGCTTTGTGGCCCTGCTTTTGTCCTTCCCCAGCATTCCCAGTATTGCTGCCAAAGGTAGATACGTCCAGGTGCTTGGCTTTGTAGAAACCCCCACACAAGGATTAGGTAGTTACATAGATCTTAGTATCTGTGAGCAATAGAATTACAGCCCACTCATTCATTTTAAAACTAAAATTTGCATTTATAACTTTCAAGTCAGAAGACTTTTAGAATAATTGTTTATATAATGTCCTACTTGCATGATGGTGAGTTTATAGACTACTTTAGATCAGCTTATAATGTGCATTAACACTCTACTCAATTACATTTTTTTTTGCAAATCAAAGGTTTTGTGCATAGATTTTTTAAAAAATTTTCCGAAGAACAAAACATTTTAAATAATTTTAAAGGTTAAAATTATTCTCTCTGCCTTTGCGTTTACTATGTTCCTAGCACTGTATAATTTTTCTTTCTTTCTTTGAATGTTCTAACTTGGTAATGGTAGGTATTGGCTTTGAGAACAGTTAAAGAATCTTTAGCTTATCAATAGCTTTATCTGAAATTTATACATCAACCTTGCTTAGAAACCCAAACAGACACATTTTATCTACCCCTTTATTCAGTGCCTTTTCCCCTCTTACCTTTTAGCCCTCTAGCCTATCTTAACTCGGTTCTATAGTTATTTACTTGTTTTTTCCTACCATAAACATTTTTACTGAATCCCTATTCATGGACCAAGCTCTACTCTAGAGGACAAGGATACCTGGTACATAAAAGGTGATCCCTTCTGGATTACATTTAATTGTGTGTGATAAATCCTATCATGGAAAGAGGTATGAAGTACTTTGGTGGTATAGGATTTTAAAACATCAATTCTGTACCCTGACTGGTGTGGCTCAGTGGATTAGGCATCGTCCCACAAACCCAAAGGTCCCCGGTCCAACTCCTGACTAGGGCACATGCCTGGATTGTGGGCTGGATTCCCAGTTGGCGGCATGTAAAAGGCAACCAATCGATGTTTCTCTCTCACCATCGATGTTTCTGTCCCTCTCTTTCTCTCTCCCTTACCCTCTCTCTAAAAATAAATACATTTTAAAAAATTGAAAAACAATTCAAAGTCAATTCTGCTTAGGGCATTGTAGATTTAGGAGAAAATGGAATATAGATAGTCCCCAACCTATGATAGTTTGACTTTATGATGGTGTGAAAGTGATATGCATTCAGTAAAAACTGTACTGCGAAATCTGAATTTTGATCTTTTCCCCAGGCTAGCAATGTGCAGTACAGTACTCTCTTTGATTCTACAGTGACAGCGAGATGACTTTGCCCCACTGTAGCTAATGTAAGCGTTCCGAGCACGTTTTCGGTAGGCTAGGCGAGGCCATGATGTTTGGCAGGTTAGGTGTATTAAATGCATTTTCCACTTAATGATATTTTCAACATACAGTAGCTTAATCAGAATATAACCCCCTTGTAAGTCAAGGGGCATCTGGACTTGAACTGGGCTCCCAGATAGAAAGAGGGCAGAGGAGCTGGGGTGAGTGAGTGTCAAGGTGGAAGGACTTGGTTGTAATCACTCTTGGTCCAGAAGCTCAGTGGTCATCTTTATCTCCTGTTTCATTCGTCCTAAGTGATGTAACCAGAAGTACTAAGGCTCAGTCCTTTCATCAGCCATAATACTGACCTGCATTTTGAATAGATAATTTGAGTTGGGTTCTCCATTCACAAGGAATAATGAGCCACCTAAGACAGAAGGTCATTGGGGTAGGACGTTGCCTAGTTATATTTGTTACATGTAGCTTCCCATGGCATTGAGTAGACCTGAATCTGCTGTGGAGGTCCCGCACATTTCTTCATCTCCCTTAGTTCTTTCCTTCTTACCTCCAGACTTACTGTACATTAAAGGAACTGCTTTGTTTGAAGTATTTTTATTTTGGAAAGTGTTATTTTTTCCCTCAAAATTGATTCAGTTGTGGTTAAGGGGAAAACTGAAGAGGCAGCTCTCATATTCTTTTTCTGAAGAGGTTCACACTCTACAAAGAAAATTACTATAGAAAGAAGACATCTAGCTAAGAGTCCTTCTGTCCTTGAATTTCGTCCTCAAGAACACTTATCTTGGAAAAATGACTTGGCTGGTCAAAGGTATCTTTATAGGGAGAAGATGGGTACAGGCATTCGGTTAAAACGTTTCCAGTTACAACTGGAATAAAAGAAGTAACTACCAAAAGTTGGTCTTTTAAAAGGATCCCTCTAACATGCTGGCCACTATTAAATAAAGATGATCATTTTGAAAATTCCAGCGTTTAATTTGACAAGCGGCGGCCATCGCTCTGACCACCAGTGTGGGGCGAAATCAGGTGCGTGGCGCCCGCCACGGGGCTCGCGGCTGCGCCCTGCAGACAGACGGGTCCCCCCGCTCCCGCGCGGGCAGACGCCGCAGGGAGGCTGCGGGAGCGCTGCTGCCTGCCCGCCCGCCCGTCCACCGCCCGCCGCCTCCTTTGCTTATTTTTCCCCTCTCCTTGGACCCCATTTCAGGGGCAGGAAGAGTGAGCATAGCTAGGGTTTCAAGTCCTGAATATACAATACTCATTCTACCAAGATTCAGTATTCTAAAACGGACTTTCTCCCCCGGCCACGAGGGAGCCAGCCGCGCGCTCTGCTCCGAGAGCCCCACTAGGGGAGAGCCCGTCGCTCTCCTAGAAGGAGCGCAGAGTCCCGACGAGCCCTCCCAGGGTCCAGGGTCGTGCGTAACTGCGTCAGGGAGTGGGGAGAAGGCGCCACTTCTGTCTGGACTTGTGTAGCTTATTGGGTGCGTTAGGGCGAATATGTCTGTGTCCTGAGAAGCCTGGAGTCCCTAAGAAGGACCGGGGAAACGCAGCGGAGGTGAGACCTGCCGTGCTGTGCTAGCGCGTGGGGTTGGCCCTGGGGCAGCGCGGGTGGGAGCTGCGGGGGCCAGCCGAGGAGAACCCCGCGCAAGCCGGCACCCGCCGTTCGAGCCCCTGTTGGAGGCTCGGCCGTGTGCTGTCGGACCGCGGCAGTCAGGGCTCTCGGGGTGCGGGCCAAAGCTTGCCGCCGTAAGGACATTCAAGCCCTACTCGCGTTCCAATACAGGCTACACCGCCACCTTTGCGCCCGAGAAATCACCAGCGCCCCCTCCGCGTGAGAAAGGAAACCCGGGAGTTTCCGTCTCAGGCCACGCCCTCGGGTCGGGACTCACCCGCGGTGGAGGAGCAGGGGTGCTGGCCTGGAGGCCGAGCCAGCCTCTCCGGGCAGGAGGCGTGCAAACTGGCACGGTGCCGAGCAGGAGCCCCACCCCTGCGCCGCCCGCAGGGAGACGGCACCGGGCACAGTAGGGCGGGGGCACTCCTTACTCCTCCGCGATGTTCCGGTGCAGAGTTTAACCTTCTTTTCACCTGGACTGAGTGAAAGCATTTCTACTTGGCATACACGCTGAAAAAACAAAACCTGGGTTGGCCAAGCATTCACATTAAATAGTGAAGAGAATTTGTGCTGGTAAAACTTGTATGCAAGAAGGATTGTATTTTGTGGAGGCCGTTGTGAGACTTTGCCTTGCGCAGGCGCAGTGCCACGCTGAGGGGGGCAGCCCGCGGCCCCCAGCCTCGCGCAGACGCAGGGCCACGCTGAGGGGGCGGCCAACGGCCCACAGCCTCGCGCAGGCGCAGTGCCATGCTGAGGGGGGCGGCCAACGGCCCCCAGCCTCACGCAGACGCAGTGCCACACTGAGAGGTGGCCAACGGCCGACAGCCTCGCGCAGGCGCACTGCCACGCTGAGGGGCGGCCAGCGATCGCAAGCGCTCTTCCTCTGCTCTTGAAAGCTTGCGCGCCACAGTCTTCCACTCCCTTCCCGCACCTTCTGACCGAATGGCTGTGAGCTGGGGTCTCCTGTGGGCCAGCTGGCGAGTGGGCGCCGCGAGAGCGAATTTCCCGAGTCCGGGCGTGGCACCGCGTCGCCGCCAGCTCGCCCGCACGCCCCTCGGGCGTCCGTGGTCCGTCACCCCGGTGTCCGGGATGGCGACTGTCAAGAGCGAGCTCACGAAGAACTTAACCTCGGAGGCGGCCGTTCCCCACAACAAGGTGTCCATTATCGGGACCGGGTCCGTGGGCATGGCCTGTGCCATCAGCATCCTGCTGAAGGGCCTGAGCGACGAGCTGGCCCTGGTGGATGCGGCGGAGGGCAAGCTGAAGGGCGAGACCATGGATCTGCAGCACGGCAGCCAGTTCGTGAGAATGCCGAACGTGGTCGCCGGCAAGGACTTCCGCGTCACGGCCAACTCCAACCTGGTGATCATCACGGCGGGGGCCCGCCAGGAGGAGGGAGAGACGCGCCTCAACCTGGTGCAGCGGAACGTGGCCATCTTTAAACTGATGATTTCCGGCATTATCCAGCACAGCCCGCACTGCAAGCTGATTGTGGTGTCCAACCCCGTGGACATCTTAACCTACGTAGCCTGGAAGTTGAGCGGGATGCCCCCGAACCGCGTGATTGGGAGCGGCTGCAACCTGGACACGGCGCGTTTTCGGTTCCTGATTGGGCAGAAGCTCGGGATCCACCCCGAGAGTTGCCACGGGTGGGTCCTCGGGGAGCACGGCGACTCCAGTGTCCCCGTGTGGAGCGGCGTGAACGTCGCGGGCGTCGCCCTGAGGCACCTGAACTCGGATATAGGGACGGATAAGGACCCTGAGCAGTGGAGAGACGTCCACAAGGACGTGATTGCCAGCGCCTACGAGATCATCAAGAGGAAGGGCTACACTTCCTGGGCCATCGGCCTGTCTGTAGCCGACCTGACGGAAAGCATCCTGAAGAATCTCAGGAGAGTGCACCCGGTGTCCACCATGATTAAGGGCCTCTACGGGATACAGGAAGACGTGTCCCTCAGCGTGCCTTGCGTCCTGGGCGAGAACGGCATCACGGACCTTATCAAGGTCAACCTGACCCCCGAGGAGCAGGCCCGTCTGAAGAAGAGTGCCGAAACACTGTGGGAGATTCAGAAGGACCTCAAGTTTTAAAGTTGCGGCAACGACCGTTCTGGAGTTACCGCAGAAGACATAGAAGTTGCATGTGTCAGTTTTCAAAAATAAACTCAGATTCCTAAAAGTTGGAACGGGGTGGGGTAGAATGACTCCCCTGTTTGTTTAGCCTCCCGGCCCTTTTATTTAGCCTCCAGTTTTGTTTTGTTTTTTAAACAGTTCCTAAGTGACTGCACCATCGGTGTCTTTGTACCACCGATGGCCTAGTACTTAAACCTTGAATTCATATGTGGTTGCCATTGGGCCCAAAAGAAAGTGGAGTGTAGGTATTTTTTTGTGTGTGTGGTAGAAATAGACGGTTTTGTTCTGGCTGGCTTACGTACTGTTTCATCTATTTATATACTATTTTTAAAGTTGTAACTTTATCCACAATGTAAAAATAAATGTACAGAAGTACTTTCTGTAATGGAGCCATCAGCTGTCTTCCCTCCCCCGTGGCAGCCTGTCAGGGGGCCTTTGCAGCGGCCTCGTGGAAAGGTAGCTGCACGTGGGGTCTGTGCATTCGTGTGTGTGTGTGTGGTGTGCGCACCCCATGCCAGAGAAGCAGAATCCTTCGGCTAAAATATGAAAAGAATAGCGATCAGGTTGTGGCTGTTATGAAGGGTTTAATGTTATAAAGTGTTATGAAGTAAAATATAAAGCTTGTAGGAAGAGGCCTGACCATGAGAGGTGGTACAGTTACTGTCATTTATTTGGCAGAGAAAGGAAACATCGCAACATTGCCCAGTTACTAAAAGTAAAGCCTGATTGAAATCACGTTGGAACTGCCTCCGAGAACCTGACCCGTGAGCATTTCAAAGCAGGAGGCGCGTTCTAAATTGTTCTCGCTGGGCCGAGGCCTGGCCCTGGGCCTACACGCGCCAGGGTCGTCCCTGTTGCTCAGTTTGCCCCACGTTCATGGAAAGCTTTTGCTTCTGAATTGGCCGCTGTCATAAAAATTGGCCAATTCAGTGAGTACTTGAGGGATATTCCTCAGTTACATTTTCCATTTCTATTCCTAAATCAGCTGACTTTACTACAGATTTTAGACTTTATACTTGTGATACAGTGAGCCTTTGGGAGAAAGTGAGAACCTTTACCTAAATGATAGTCTTGTAGCTTAGAAAGCAAATGGACATTTTAAAAATGTGTGTTAGCTTTTCTAATGCAACTGAATATTAAGTAGATAATGTGGTATGTTCAGTCGTACCTTAGGATCCATGTGGATATCAACAGGCCTAATCAAGAGTGAAGGGTACCAGCATCTGCTGCATACACTAAGCCCGTTCTGCTTAGTTGAATTAGTAGACACAGGACAGTGATCTGCCCTGCAGAAATGACTCTCTGCTGTGCCAATCCAGGTTCCAGTACTGTTTCACTGGAAACATCTAGAAATGTTCTGATTCCTCACAAAGCAGTGTCATAGCACCCCAGAAGTGGGACGGGTGGTTATAAGACCTCTTTAAGCTCAACTTCACAGAGGTCCTCTTCTCCTTGGTCCGGCCCTTGAGTTTTTATGCAGCCACGTTTCAGCCAAAGGTTACACCGAAGGGCGTCAGAGCATGCCTTATGCCTGTTTTGTACTTCTCTTCACCACGAATGTCAGGATAGGTTGGGCTATGCTGCAGTAGAAATCAGTCTCTAGATGTGTGGGTTAAAATAAAAGTTTATTTCTGTCTCATGTAAGATCCACTCTGGGTTTACACGCCGCTCCAGAGAAGCTGTCCACCAGCCGGCCTGGTAACCCCAGGTTTCCTTGATCTCGAGGCACCACCGTAGCCACACGGGTTCCCCTGGTTGCTAGGGAAAGGGAAGAGGGGCCTGGAGAACCAAGCATCTGTAGCTGTTGCTTCGCCCTGGAGGCGACACACATTTCCTTTACTCACATTTGATTTGCCAGAACTGCTCACATGGTTACCGAACTTCAAAAAGGGTAAAGAAACATCACCCTGCTGTTTCCACATGTAAAACATTGGTAGTAATCTGCCATGCCATTGTAAATAAAATGGTCACCATTGCAAGAGGCATATATGTTTCTAGAGTGAGTTTTAGTGACAGCTCATAGTGGATATTATGGAGATACTGTCTTTCCAGGTCACAGAACCAGGGTAACTGTCAAGGAAGAGCCCTGGACATCCACCACGCGGTTGCACTTACAGTGAACCATGTCGCTGTGAACGGGTTCGCCTCCGTGACCTCTGGTTTCCCCATGAGAAGTGGTCCTCACTTCTGCCACAAGGAATTTGGAAGGCTAAGTAACAGTGTGATGCCCGGTACAGTGCCTGGCTTGTAAGTGATCCCAGGTGGCAGACATTATTTTTTTTCTGTTCAGGTAACATTTACAGTTTTATTCTGTTTCAGTTTATTAAGAAGCTGAATCCCCAGGTTCTTCAAAACGATCAGTGGTGCTGTAGTTATTGACGTGTCCGAAGGCTTTCTCGTCCGTCGGTGTCACAAAGCTGTGTTGTCATTCTAAGCCCAGCCCCGAGGCAGGCGGCACACACCTGCAAGTGAGGAAATGGGTCCGTGGCAGAGACACTTTAAAACTTGGAGCTTTTAATTCCAGTAGCTCCCTATTTATTAGAATCAATGATGTAAGGATTTTTTTAACTTAATTGAATTGGGGACATATGCTGCAGCTTTTCACAATTTTTCAGCACACCACATATCAGACCAAAAGTTTTCACACTCTTTCTCCGTGTCGGGACACGCGTGGTCAATGTGCAGCGTACCCCATGCTGCACTCCTGGCACACTGGCTCCTTGGCCTTTCGGGAAGCTACTGGAACGTGAATGAGAGTGACATTATTAGAGATACAGTCTTGATTCGTTCTAATATCTAAATTAAAGTCGATTGTATCTGGTCTTCAGAATGTGCAGACTAGGGGCAAATTCCCAGTTGTCGTGACATTCCCTTTGAGAACTGCTGCCTTGGATGTCGGTACCTTCTGATAATATTAGAACCCGGGACTTTTTGGACACGAACACTGGTGCTTTAAGGAAGCTGTCGTTGGAGCTGCAGGCTCAGTGCTGAGGGTGTGCCGTCGTCTCTACGGAGAGCAGCCCCCGGCAGTGCGCAGCGCACAGCAGTGCTGCTTCGCCGGGTAGCCCCATGGTCTACAGCCTTGGGAGAATCCTCCTTGCTAAGAGAGAAGGGAGCTGATCCCAGAGTTTAGAAAATGCTTCAGAATAAACCTGACTTGCTGGATGGAGACACGAGTTCCCAGCATGCCCCATCTCACCAGACTTTTGGGGTACAGAGTAGGGGAAGATTCTGTGGTAGCAGCTGTGAGTGTTATCTGGGAACGCGGTGCACTTATAACCAGGTTTGCCGAAATGTACACAGGCCCTAAATCTTTTCCAGCACACTTTTAACAGGGTGTTCTATGGGCCTGCGAAAAGAGTATCACTGATAAGACCAACACCTCTGAACTGTGTATCAGAAATGGATATAGGTGAAAAAAACAAAGGTTTTCATTTACCATGCATGTAATATAAATAATATAAGCTTTAAAACCTTCTATGGAGCCCCATTGTTTAAAGCAACTTAAATGTAGACCCGGGGTCTCCATTTCCACGGCTGCAGAACTGAAGAAGAGGGCTGGATGGTGTTCTCTATCCCGCCCACCTCCCTCCCGCTGCCTCGCTCCGAAGCCTGTCTATTCCTGGTGGGCTGCTGTTGAGATACGATTCCTCCTGGTGGTTCAGTTACTCACTTAGGACCCTGGGAAAGCGCGGAGAATATACAATACTGGAGAAATGAGAGGACAGAAAAAAACCGTGTGGAGAGGAGGAAATGGGAACAGAACCACGCCGAAGTAGGGCAGCCACCCTTGACTCGCCTGCCCGGGCCTCATGGGCGTTTCCCGGGCCCATCCTTCTCGGCAGCTGGCCGTGCTCCCTGTCGCTGAGAAGGTGGGACGGCAGACGCTTCTGTTCATGGGCTGGCTCCCGGACACCCCTTCTGAAAGCTCTGTCATCAGGCTGAGTTGTCGCAGATGTGCGACCGGAGAAGTGAAGGAAAAGAGCCAGGCCGCACAGAGCAAACCCTAGCCGGTGAGATGTGCGTCTTTCCGCTCAGAGAGTCTCGGCACGTCCCCTCAACAGGGGTGCCTGGTGTTTTGGACAAAGCAATTCTCTTCCCATGCGCCATCCTGGGCATTTCGCACCCACGCCCCTCGAAGGGAGAGTAGTGATCCCCTGTGATTGTGACAACAAAAAGCCCTGCATAGTCAGTGCCTCCCAGAGGTGCAGTACTGCCCCCGGTCAAGGGCCTCCGTGAGGGGCTCATCACAGTACAGTCCAGAGGGCTGCGTGGAAGAGCGGGCTGGACATCCTGCGGACATGGTGTCTGGGACCTGCCATCGACGTGGTTGGCATGGACCTCCTACAGACTACATGTGGTGGGCGACCTTATGTATCTTCTGGTGTTGATATTTAAACCAGAATGGTGTATAACTATAAAATAATGCCTTCAATAAATGTACCATAATATTTGTCTCCATGTGCGCTGTGTTCTTGAAACATAGCACAGGTATTTTGATGATGCTCTAAGGACAATAGTTAATGATATTAAGCAATTACCATGTGCTGGGTGCTGTGCTTTGTATGTATCATCTCTCTTAAGCCTCACAATCCTGTAAGCGGGTAATTACGTCCATTCCTCACACCTGGAAACTACTGCTTACAATAAGCAGCCTTCCCGGGTGTCGGACTAGGATTTGAACGGAGAGGTCTACCAGAGCCCGTGTGGCAAACAATAATACTAAGATGACCGGAATGAATGCCTACGAATGTACAAGTTCCAAACAAGAGGCACACCCTGAATATGGAAACCAAGTAAGGATTCAGGTTCAAATGAAAATAAATAAGCATCCCCATAAAAAAAAATTAGTCACCTTTCAAAATAACCACTGTAAGAAACGAGTTGCTGATGGGTCCCAGGTGCCCCACAAACCCCATCAAGGAGGTCTGCACCCTTGGCAAAACACAGCCGGGATACAGCCCAGGAGAAATGGCAGTGCTGTGCCACCGTGCTTCCGAAACACCCCGTGCAGGACCGTATGGGCTAACGAGAACGAACCGGAGAGCATGTGGCTAGCACTGTCTAGTGTAAACATTATCCAGCTCCCATAAGTCAGTGTTCCCCTCCCTGCGGGCGGTGTGCACTGTAGGTAGAGCCAGGTGCTCCGTGTGGACCCTGAATCTGAAGACCCTCCAGCCCCCCAGCCCCGACTCTCAGATCCCAGATCAGCCTCCCTGGTGAAACCTCCACCTACATCTCTCAACACTGGCTGGTGCGTAAAAACGTTCTCATTTGTCGGCCATTCATCGGTTCACTCTTGTATTAACCCCCTCGTAAGTTTCTTCTCCCCACCCCTCTCTGGCCCTAAAACTCTGCTGACTTGGACCAGCCCGGGTATATCCCCGGGTTCAGCCGGACGCATCTCGCGCCCAGCTGCGTCTTTACACGTGAAAGCCGACGACGCGTCCGTCACTGCTGCGGAGAGCCTGTGGCGGTCCCGGTTCAGAGTGGGGCTTTCTGTCATTCAAGGCCCCGTAGACGTGTATTTAGAAGAAGAAAAGAGGCGTATCTCGTTTCCCTCAGGGTAGCTAGGACACACTTTCTTACCTTTTCTTGGTCTTCCTCTGCTCCTGTGGCCTTGAGCGGTGACGGGTCATCCGGTCAGCAGCCACGTCCTTTCTTATCGTTCGGCTCTTCTCCCTTCTAACGTTTGATGATGGACTTTTTCCTTCTTTTAGGTGAAAGACTTTCGAAGTAAAATGCAATCCATATTTCCAGCAATTCCCAAGAACTCCAAATCTGCGGTCGAGTGGGAGGAAGCCCTGAAATCCAAGTGAGACGAGCATGGTGGATGAACCCCAAGACGACCGAGTGCAGGAAGGACCCCCGTGGTGAAGGGACTCGGTGACCTCTCCTCGGGAAGACACGCGGGTTATCGTCTGAGCCCACGGGATGGACGGTGCTCAGTGTGTTCAGCGTCTTTCACGTTCTGTGCTCACACGTGAGTGTGTGTGTGTGTGTGTGTGGTGCTGGGGGGAGGACGAAGTTTTCCCAAAGTTCAGAAGACTGTAAAAATAGCGACACAGACAACTTCTCAATGTGGAGGAGGTCCCCGGGGAATCACTTCTGTGTGTGACGGCAGCAGTCGAAACTGAGTTTTGTCCCTGATGGAAAAATCTCTGTAACAGGCTCCTCCCAGCAGCAGTGCCTCCATGTGTCTAATTAAATGAGTGTCAGCAGTCTTGTTGTCCCTCTGTGCTGGCCAGAACGTGGGAGACGCGCTCCCACCAGGCAGACCCAAAGTGACGGCTATCAGGGAAAGCCTGGGCGTCGGCGGGGGCGGGGGCGGGGCTCTGCGTTCGCAGGAGCGAGTGGTGCGCCCAGTGACCTCGCCTTCCATCCTGTAAGTTCCGAGACAAGAAGCCAGTAACGGGTTATGAGAACTTGAAAAGGTACAGCTAAGCTAAAATAAGAATAATGATGTCATGGGTATAACGTGGGTATTTTTGAGAAATGGGTTCCTAAATATTAATTGACAGTTTGTAGTGTTGTCAATGTAAAAATAGCCCAGTTATCACCTATCTTAACAAGTACTTTTAACTAGAAAGTCACCTGAAATTGTCTCAATATTTAGTACCGCCTTGCTGATGAAACTGGTAAATTCTTATGTACACTTTCAACCCTTTTCTGTCCTCCATGAGCTCACACAGAAAACAGAATAATGCCTAATTGCAATGAATTATTTTTACTGGAGATTTAAAATTTTTAAAGAAAAATAATATGTCAGTATGTCCAGAAAAATAACCTCTGGTTAAATATCAGTTGTGCAATTTCTTTATCATTGCTCAGGCCCTAAGTAGCAATCGGATTTAATAAAGTATATTTGAAATTAATCTGTTATAATGAAACCTTTTAGTTGTAAGGAAACATTTTAAGTGAAATGTCAAGTGCACAACATAACACTTTTCTCTGGACCACTTTGCCCGTTAACACTGCTGTGTTATTAATCCAGTGGGCGTAACCAGCCCCCGGGATTCACATGTAACCTGTCAAAAATCCCAGACGCAACGGAAAAAAGTGTGAAGTTGATCAGGGTGTATGGAGTAGCAAAACCTCTTCACCCATCTTCATTTTTAATTAAGTCCCAGCTAAGGAAACACAACCTCCTGGGGAGATTCCCCGAAGGAGTCTGGAAATGGCCCCCCTACTCAGAGGGCAAGGGTGACAGAAGAAGGGGGCGGCGGGTTTCCTGAGCACAGGCGCTGCCTCACGAGGCTTGCCGTGGGCGGCCACCAGCCTGAGTGCTTTTCCGTTTCTGCCCCTGCCCACCGATCTTAAAAGCTCCCGTGGAGGCCCTAACTGGGGTCAGTCATGCACACAGTGCATATTGTCTCAACGCCACCTTTCTGTCTCAAGGCCGTGTCCTCGCAGTTATTTCTGGGAGCCAGGAGGACAAGAATTCCAGGGGTGGGGTGGGGTGGGGAACCTCCAATTGCCAGGGTCTAGTTCTCAGGTCGGCCATCTCCTCAATGACCCCCCCAGCGCTAGGCTTGGAATGAAACGAGGAAAAGCAGAGCTGGAACAACATGGACGAGGTCATGTCCACGTGATTAGTCCGAGTCCAGGTTACCCCGATAGGTGCCGTGCGGGCTACCTACAACTGTCTACAGCTAGAGTCTAGATTTTTATTTTTCTTAGATGGAGAACAGCTATTGATTTTTTTTTTAAAGCCCTCCACTGGGTAGGGGAAAATGAGAATTTCTAGCTTGTCTGAGATAATAAAAGGGAAAATCATTATTAGTCTTGATTCTGTTTAATAGATCCCTGCCTTGTAAGCTCCTTAAGGACAGGGACTCCTCTCAGGGCCTTAACAACCTGTGGCAGGAGGGGGCCGGGGCTGCGGTGGCGCACTCTGTCCCCGCGGGGTGGCGGGGGAGGGAGGCCTGGGTGCGGATGGGGTGGCTTGCCGAGTGTTCACAAACCCTTCCCGCGCCCATCGTCCCCCCAGGGATGGCGGGGGTCCCAGAAGAAAGATCATGAGTCACTTGCTGAGCGGTCTGGTGGGCGCGGAGTTCCTAGAACAGGTACAAAGCACAGGTTCTGGTTGCATTTTAAAAGCAAAAATGAAGTAGCAAAGATGAAAATTAAGAGGCAAACAATCAGTGTGACGGAAGTGGCATTTTTCTGCACTCAGGACTCAGATATGAGAAGATTTAGTCATTCGTCTATTCCTTTTATACCAGAGGCATATTGTTAAATTGGTTAATGGAAAGGAAAAATGTTTAACAGATAATGTTATTCTTTATGGGAAGCACCATCTGTGTATTGAGTTCCGAATGTTCCCGGCTATGGAAGAGCGGAAATGTTATGGAATTTCGAGTTTGCCTTCTCTGCTGTCTTTCTCTTGGGTAGAGTATGACAAACATAATCACATTTATCTCCTGGAGCATAAAGAGTTTTAATCACCCTATTAACCAGGATGACATTTTTCACAGACTTAAAAAGGAAGAGAACAGACATTATCTCCCCATAAGCAATCCATTTCATGGAGGCTGAACACTAGAAACTTCTCAGAGGCTGGGTAACGCAAGCCATTTTCACTCGGCGTGCAAGCCGACAGTAAGGCAGCTTTCGGTGAGAATGTTGCTTTACACCCGTTGAGCGTTAAGCTTTATATTTAGAATCCCAGCCCCCCAGAGAGCCGTTAGAGACAGCAAGATACAGAGAATGCGGTGGGCAGAGAAGGGGTGACTTCCGAGGCCATGAGATTTAGGTAAGGAAAAAACATGTATTCTTATAATAAGTTATTGCTATCCTGTAAAATGGACCCGTGGACTGCTGCTATCTTCAGAGCCAAGAAACTGTGGGTGCTGCAGGACCTGGGAATGACAAACGGCACGGGAACCGCCTCGAAAGATGCCTAGCGGCCTGTCTCTGCAAGAGACGGGGTTCCGATGACAGGGGCCCACGGCTACCCAGGCCCAGAAGCTGAGGTGTGGCTGCAGGTGACCCTCACTGTATCTCGCTGACACTGGCTGACCGGTGAGAAAACCTTTCTTCACCTGCTCAGTCAAACGGTGGCACCTGCCCTGGCTGGTGTGGCTCAGTAGATTGAGTGTCAGCCTCTGAAGAGTCGCCAGTTCGATTCCCAGTCAAGGCACATGCCTGGGTTGTGGGCCAGGTCCCCAGTCGGGGGTGTGCGAGAAGCAACTGATATTTCTATTTCTTCCCCCTCTCTAAAAATAAATAAAATCTCTTGTTTAAAAAAAGGTGGTGCCTAATCTTGCCTGTTATACATTTTGCTTAGTTTCATGGGTAGTAAGGGACTCAACGTGCAAATTAATTGTTGCAACCTAAGGGGGAAAATATAAGAAATTAAGGTGGGGGGAGTCCATGGGGACAAAAGTAATTAAAATCCACTATTTAGCTATTTCACTTGGGGCAGAATTTAATCTCCTAGGTTTGGTTCATGCAGAATGTTGTCTGTTTCACCTCATTTTCATGTATTACCTCCAAAAGTAAAACAAAAACAAATACAGTAGCTAAATAGAAATGAAAATCAGCTAGGTAAAATTAATTTTTTTCCAAATAAATTTCTCTTGAAAGGTAGCAGAATACACATTATTATAGTATTTTATCACGTTCGAGTGAGACGTTTTTTCCTTTCTGCCAAGAGTCATAGAATCTTTCAGGCGTTGGGATCTCCACGGCCGTTTCCAGGATGAATTACTGAAGGCTGTGATTTTGTGGGTCCAGGGAAGAAAAGAGTGTCTCTTGCCAGCAGTGACATCCATCGGTAACAATGAGCGGGCTGCTGGCCAACTTTGTCTGAGGGCAGGTGACTCCGTTTTGGAGAGAAGTAGAAATGCAGTTACCGAGAGGCACATACTATAGTTTCAACTTTTGTCCCCAAGTATTGGCAGAGTGATTTGGGCCAGACCGTTTGCTTCATCATTTGGTGATCATCATCATCATGATCACTTAGTAAAAAAGAAAACAGTAGTAAAAAATGGGACGGTGTGTACATGTTCTTAACGACAGACGGGAAAAGCCGTCCTTCACGGACTCCTAAACTCAGTCTGCCAAACAGGGGAAGCCTGGCGCGTTTGTGGGGCGCCTGCTCCCTGCTCCTCTGAAAACGCTCCCTAATCCCCTTCACGCTGCCCCTCTCGCCCGTGCCTGGAGTGGGACTTTGGGTCCGCAGCCCGACCCAGACGACCCGCAGGGCGTGCCCAGGGCTGCCGGCTGTACACCCAGGGCCCCAGCGCAGGTGGCCTGTTGTCTGAAAGGAACACGTTGACAGAACTGAGTGTAAATGAAAGCTTGAACTTGACAGTTCTTACTGAGTTGTGCCAAACTCTGCAAAGCCCCTTTGCTCCGGACTGGGCCCCCCAAGTGACGGGCACATGCAGCCAGCCTCGTCTGGAAACCTGGTGGGGCAGCCACCAGCAGGGGCCATGGCTGCCCCAGCCCCTCGGCCCGGATCCTTCCGCATCCCTTCACTCCGCGGTGGCTCGGCTTCCTAGACCTCTTCCAGTTGGGACGGAGGTCACAAAGGCAAGAAAACTCCAGTGTAGTGAATCTCGCGCAAAGCCAAAAGAAGACCTCTCGTCAAAGGTAAGAGTGATCAAGGAGGCCCTTTGCTCTGACCTTGCTCGAGGGCCAGCCCTGATCCTCTTTTGATAGATTTTATTACAAATAACTGTCGTACAGTATCTGTGGGAAGAGCACACCGTCAAGTGTGCTAGCTGACTCCTGTTTTGGAGGGAGACTGGGCCAACACAGTCAGGGACAAGGGCGGTTCCGCCTGGCTGTGGAGGACACGTGGAGGTCGTTGTGCCGCGTCCAGGCTCCTCCAGAGCTGGAGGGGAACGCCACCCCTACCCGCAGGATGGGGCTCTGGCTGCGCAAATCTCCCACCCGAAGGTGTTCCCGCGGGACCCTTCCAAACGGGACCTGTCGGATAGATCTACAAATAATGCGTTGAGGTGGGATTCACATTCGCCACAGGAGTGCCTTTGCTTTAACTTCTCAATGTTTCAAATCTTAGCGCAGAAGCAGGAGTGAGGGCTGGATTGAAAACAGGATCAGGAGAGACCCCAGAGAAGCACCGACATCCCTGAGTGAAGCGGCCGTTCGCCCTTGCATGGTTCCTGCAGGTTCAGGACTCAGTCCGTAGTAAGCTCATCAGTGAATATAGGGAGGGTGGGAGGGAGGGAGGGAGGGAAAGAAGGAAGGA